TACTTCTGGGGTTCAGAGGCCGTTGGTTCTGAACCCACTGAAAACCGCGAGAAGCTACTGCAGTACAGGGTGTGGACATATCTGTACCCAACAGTGCCGGGTGGGATTGACAGCCCGATGATAAACCCGGTGGCACCAGGGGCGCCGTCGCTCGCCGGACTAGGGTGTTCGAAGCTGCTGGTGAGTGTTTCGGAGAAGGATATTCTGTGGAGCAGGGGAATTTCGTTTTACAATGCGGTGAAGGAAAGCGGGTGGAAAGGGGAAGCGGAGTTGATTGAAGTTGAGGGAGAAGGCCATGCGTTTCACATTGTGAATTATGAGTCTGAAAGTGCCAAGAAATTCATAGTTCGCTTGGCTTCTTTTCTCAAGTAAATTGGTGGCAATGTGTCATCATCTTGCCTTTTAACTTTCAGTTGGGTTTTGTTTTTGCACTTTTGTGTTCAAACTTTTAATAATCAGAGTAATTTTGCTTTTGTGTTTTCGAAAAGATATGTGTGGGAGATTTTAATAAACTTTTTCTTAGTATCAATAATGATTTACGTGATCAGGCAGAGCATCGCCAAGGCTCTTGTCGCCTACTACCAAAAGTTTGTGGATGAGCACCAGAAGGAGATTAAAGACATCTTGGTGAGGTACGATAAGACTCTGCTCGTCGCTGATCCCAGGCGGTGCGAGCCCAAGAAGTTCGGTGGTCGTGGCGCCAGAGCTAGGTTCCAGAAGTCTTACAGTTGAAGTATCAGAAAGAAGAATGTTCTTCTTATGGTGGTTTTTGTCTCATTTTTTAGCCCTTTTAATGTTCAACTGCATTTACTGATATTATGTTGTTCGCAGTTATTCAATGCTAGAAATGTTTTGATTCTAATTTTCCAATGCAAATTTTATTCTATCTTGCTCAAGTAAGACCTACTCTTCAATTGATTGTGTTCTTTTACTTTATGCATTAATGGGGTTTCAGACTAAACTCTGCTTGATCATAACCAGTAGCCCTTAAATTTGTATTCAGAAGTTCGGATTTGATTCTGGATGGTAGTTGCTCTTATTGGGATTTGTTTTGATTCTAATTTTCCAATGCAATTTTATTCTATCTTGCTCAAGT